TGTCTCACCTCCGGGGGCAAGTTGTTCCAAAGGGCAGCGGATACAGCAGAGAAGGCCCACCTTCTGGACCCCGCTAGTCAGAGTTCTTTTGCCAAGGGGGTCTGGAGCATGCTCTGTGTGATCAGGTGGGATGGGTTGAAATCGTGGGGAAGAGGCGGTCCCTCTGGTAGCTTGGCCCCATGCCATGTAGGGCTTTAAAGGTGATAACCAACACCTTGAATTGGACCCAATTGTAATTGCTTCATTTTACACTTCTTGGTAGTTTGAAAGTAACCTCATTCTATTGTGTGCATTTTTTCAGCAGCTTTGTACTACTGTGCACAGTGAAAGAATGTATCTTTCATCTTTTTGCCCTATTTACCCATGATAGGATGAAGAGCTGGAAAAATTCTGAATTTTTATTATCACCAATGCCTTTCAAAAAGGAATGTTTTTTTTTCAAATGGCTTGTCCTTTATGCCATGTCTTTTCACCCTAGTGGAAATCAGCAGTTTCCAGAGATGTATCTTCACTGAGATGGGTAAATGAGTCTGCCTGTACCATTTCAGCAAGTAAGAGATTCATATTGTTGAATGCTCTTCCATTCAAAAAGAAATCTTCCATAGAAAAAACTAGACAACTTGAAAAAAAACATTCAACCTGATACATCCATTTGAATTCTGAATACTAGTACAGTAATTATGTGACCTCCCCTCCAATCTGAAATAATAGTGTCAACACAGACACAGAGCTCTCTTAATCAGTACTAATCAGGCTTAGGGGTGGAAACGCATACAGCAGTTTGATGATCAACTTTCTCAGCTGCACAGAACCGTTTTGGAATGGGGCAACGTATAAACGGCAGTAAAATAAAACCTCTCGAGATAGTCTGCAAAAAGCAGTCGACCGTTCAAATGTGTCTTAGGGGACTACATTTCAGGTGCAACTCGGCTACCAGGCTAGGAATTTTTCCAAAGATCTCCATGTCACCCATCGAGAAGCATTTTGCAATTATCCTGCGTTTCTATCCTTTGCGTTTGTTTTCCTCCGCAAGACTGCTCGTAAAATGCCACGAATGGGCGCGGGCGTCAGCGCAATGAAGGTCCGGAAACCCTCGCCCTGAAACAGGGGAACTGGAGGGGTTGCTTTACCATTATCGTTTCGGTTATAAACGCTCCATGAGGCATTACCCGACTCGTTGCGTCTGCCATTTCTATTTCAGTGCCAGGAGTACTGTATCTTTGTACTTCCAGGCTGGCATTCTAATACCAGGGACTTTTCTTCGAAGTCCGTTTCTGGACTCCACAGCTAAAGGCTGGCACCTTGGAGGGTCCCAAGGGATCTCCACCCAGTGGGAGACCTGAACCGATACTCTCCCCTCGAATAACCCCGTAACACGCCCGAACATGCTGGTTCGGATGGACAGCGTCCGCTGCCTAAGAGCAACACACTCATCATAGCCCTACCTTCCCCTACTCCCAAATTCACCCCACCCACTGCCGTGCTCTTCCCGTGTAATCCACTCCCTCGTCTATGTTGACGTAACTTCCGGGGTACGCGCCTGCCGCTTCCGGCGTATACCTTTGCTTTGCTCAACCGCCTGTCGCGGGGATCGGTGTTTGGAGCTTTCTCAGTCCAGGGTAAGTCCGACTTCATCACTGACCTTTTCCTGGATGGCTGATAGATTATCCAGAGGAAAACTCTGCTCTTCCGTTGATGATCCTTAGACTAATGGAATGGTAGAGGCGCTTTGGGATCCCAACTCTTCCTCTGGTTTTTCTCTTCTCTTTATGTAGCACGGGATGGCAATTTCTGGTGCATAACCCCGCTACCAATATTTATTTTTGATGAATATGTTATTTTGGTAAATATTTTTGGTAAATAACAGTCATTGAAAGGACAGCATTTTCAATGAGTATTCAAGAAGCAGAAATTCACTAATTGAAACCCAATAGTTTACAGTTGGATGAGACGAAAAAGCGTCACCTGTTGAATTTCGCTTGCTTGTAAAGGCACAAAAGTCCTGGCGGGGGCGGGGGGGACGGCATCCCGGTTCTGTTTTCTCATCTTTCCTCCCTTTACTTCTTTATCTCTCTATTTTATCTTGCTTTACAGCTCTTGGCTCCTCTTGTTGTGTCTTAAATATGACAGCAAAGGGAAGTGTATTAAGGCAGATGGCTTTTAAGGGCCAGTCCTTTTTTGCTCTTATTTCTCTAATTGATCTTTTTGCTTCTGCAAAAGCTTTGAAAAAGGTATGGGAAACATCTCATTATAGAAAATAAAACTCATTTTTATTATTCACTCATCAGTGAAGTCATACAACGTGGAGTCTAACCTGAAAGTGAAAGAATGATACAGAGTAACTGATTGAATTATGGTCTGATAGATGGTTTTAATGTTCTTAAGGATTTTAACATGGGAGGAAATAAAGGCCATTTTCAAATTTTATCTAAAAGAATATAAATGAGAAAAGTATATGTAAAGAAGAAAGATGTAAAAACTTGTAAGAAAAAAAAGATAAGGTATCCCAATTGAATGCCTTAGGTTAACACAGTACAAATCACAGACAGAACTATAAATAGTAAACAATACATTAAATCAATTACAATTCAATTAGAAATATGATTCTATGGAAAAGAAAACCTTGGATGTGGCACAAAACTATATATAACATTATCTAAGAGATAAAGGCCACTTCTTAATGGGATGAGTAGTACATAAATATTCTGTTTAGTTTAAATTTTCAAAAATATTGTAAAACAAACTTATCTATGTGACAGGCCCTTATTTCTTAAAGTGATTTTATTAAAAGTGGATATATGAGCATTTATTTGAAGAAAATTATAGATATCTGTGTGAGGCTCATTTGGGCCTAGATTATTATAAGTGCTGCTTGTAGTCAGTGATAGTGGCCAGTAAGGCTATGCAAATCCTCAAAAGAGTTACTCTGCAACAGACTGGAGTCTGTATGAAGCACTTTTCTTCCAAACAATAAAGCAGCCACACCTTTTCCCAGACATGTGGAAATAGTCAAGAGCAGCATACAAAGCAACCACGTAAACATGGGAAAAGGTATAGCTGTTATACTGAATCAAAGAGAGGTGCTTTATACCTGCTCTTTATACATTGTGACACCACTGGCCAGTTTCCTGTTGGCCAGAATATTAGTGTAATCATCCCCATGTGTTCAAAAGGGAAAATATCAGATCCTGACATTATCTGTCATAAATTTCATTTGCATCACTGCTAAATTTATTTGAGATTTCTCTTTTTTAAAAAATAGGATTGAATGTATATAGCTTCTCATTAGACCACGTCTTTATTTACCTTATCTCTAATAATGCTAAAAAACTTATATCATATCTGAATGCTGTCTTTATTGATTTGAAAGAACCCTTTCTTGGTATTCACAGATATATACTTTGGAATAAATCCTGAGGTCTACTTGTAATTGGCCATTTCATCAGAAGTCAAGTTGTAATATGAAGTATTACATTCAGATTATCAAATGTTGTGACCAACTGTATTCTGTCCTCAGTAGCTGTAATGCAAAGCTGCTTTCTTGCTCCTGCTGTGTGTATATGTGCATCTGTGCGCTCATGTAGAAATAACTATATGAATGTACAAATGAACAGAGCTAAAATTGCAGCCAGTGGGTTTGGATCCCAGTTTGCTCATCCATAGATGGAAGGACTTATTCTGTGGCTGACTCTGCTGACTAGGTGCTTCCGTAAGTTAAAAGAAAGGAGGTGAAATGTATTGCTGTCTTTCCCCACTGCCATTTTCCATGTTTCTCTGGAGAGTCCCCCCACCTTCCCAAAGCAGATTCTAGGCATAAGGCATTACAAAATGTAGATGGTAGATTCATGACAATTTCCTTCCCCTTTCAAACTTTGGGAGCATCCTGTCATAGAGTTCTGCTTTTTGCTACTTGGGAACAAATTTTTACTAATTCTATTATTAAAGCTATTAATTAATTATTAGAGCTAAATTGATGATTAAATTAGGTCTTTATTTAGGATGCTTAATTCAGAATTATACTGGCTGGCCTGTAACTCTGAAAATTG